GATAAAAACCCTAAAAAAAAAACTGCGTATAGAAGAAGCATACCTTAATATAATAAAAACCATATATAGCAGACCCACAGCTAGTATGATAATGAATGGGAAAAAACTGAAAGCTTTTCCTGTAAGTTCTGGAACACAACAAGAATGACCACTGTTATTCAGCATAGTACTGGAAGTCCCAGCCCGAGCAATCAGATGAAAAAAAAAAAAGAGGGCATCCATATTGGAAAGGAAGAAGTCAAATTATTATTGTTTGCATATAATATGATCTTATACCTGGAAAAACCTAGAAACTCCACCAAAAAAAGTATTAGAAGTGAGAAATAAATCCAGTAAAGTTGCAGGATAAAAAATCAACATTTTTTATATGTCAACAATGAACAATCTGAAAAGGAAATCAAGAAAGAAATGATATTTACTACAGCTTCAAATAAAATTAGATACCTAAGAATTAACCAAAGAAGTGAAAGATCTCTACAATAAAAACTGTGACACATTAATGCGAGAAATTGAAGAGAACACAAAAAAACAGATGTTTATGGATTGGAAGAATTAATATTGTTAAACTGTCCATACTCCACAAAGCAAGCCACAGATTTAATGCAATCCCAGTCAAAATTCCAATCATGTTCTTCACAGAAATAGAAAAAAAATTCTAAAATTTATATGGAAAAATAAATAACCCAGAATAGCCTAGGCAACAAGAACAAAACTGGAGGAATCGTATTACCTGACTTTAAATTATACTACATAGCTATAGTAACCCAAACAGCATGATACTGCCATAAAAACATGCAGTGGCTCACACCTGTAATCCCAGCACTTTGGGAGAGGCGAGCGGATCAGGAGGTCAGGAGATCGAGGCATCCTGGTTAACATGGTGAAACCCTGTCTCTACTAAAAATACAAAAAATTAGCTGGGCCTGGTAGCATGCGCCTGTAGTCCTAGCTACTCAGGAGGCTGAGGCAGAGAACTGCTTGAACCCAGGAGGCAGAGGTTGCAGTGAGCCGAGATTGCATCACTGCACTCCAGCCTGCACAGAGCGAGACTCCATCTCAAATAAATAAATAAAAGACACATAGATCAGTGAAACAGAATACAGAACTCAAAGACAGGTTTATACATCTACAATGAACTCATTTTTGACAAAGGTGCCAAGAACATACATTGGAGAAGAGACAGTCTCTTCAACAAACACTGCTAGGAAAACTGGATATCCAGATGCAAAAGAATGAAACTAGACCCCTATCTCTCACCATATATAAACATCAAATCAAAATGCATTGAAGACTTAAATATAAGACCTCACACTATGAACATACTAAAAGAAAACATTGGAGAAACTCTCCAGGACATTGGGACTGGGCAAAGATTTCTTGAGCGATACCCCGCAAGTACAGGCAACCAAAGCAAAAATGGGCAAAGGGGATCATATCAAGGTAAACACCTTTTGCACAGCAAAGGAAACAATCAACAAAGTGAAGAGACAACCCACAGAATGGGAAAAATATTTGTAAACTATCCATCTCACAAGGGATTAATAACCAGGACATATAAGGAGCTCTGTAGGAAAAAAAAAAATCTAAATCTGATTTTAAAATAGACAAAAGATCTGAGAACACATTTCTCAAAAGATTGACATACAGAGATCGGGCGCGGTGGCTCAAGCCTGTAATCCCAGCACTGTGGGAGGCCGAGGCGGGTGGATCACGAGGTCAAGAGATTGAGACCATCCTGGTCAACATGGTGAAATCCTGTCTCTACTAAAAATACAAAAAATTAGCTGGGCATGGTGGTGCGTGCCTGTAATCCCAGCTACTCAGGAGGCTGAGGCAGGAGAATTGCCTGAACCCAGGAGGCGGAGGTTGCGGTGAGCCGAGATCGCGCCATTGCACTCCAGCCTGGGTAACGAGGGAAACTCCGTATCAAAAAAAAAAAAAAAAAAAAAAAAAAAAAAAAA